GAAGAAACTCGCCGAGTTCATAAGTGAACTCGACGAGTCGAGTCGGGGTTTCCCCGCGATTTGTGACAGGTGGAACCCGTCGAGTGGAAGGATGAATCGACGAGCCAAGAGAGGCTAGAAGGATTCAGAGGACCCGCATGGACTCGCCGAGTCGCCCATGTACACTCGACGAGTCGGATCAAAGTTTGAACGTTGACTTTCGTTGACCTTAGGGTTCTGGTCAAGACTGATTAAAGAGAGTTCAGGAAGGGGTAGAATGGCCTTCTACCCAATCTTTAGAGATGAGACTATGAGAGAATATTGACCGGGAATGTTATTTGAATGATAGGAGGAGGCTAGGTCGGGACGTTGAGCACGAGAGTTTATCCGACTTCATTAAGGTGAGTCTTCTCACTATACTGTACCTGGAAGGATACCTATGTGTGACCAGAGGGTCTTATATGTTATGAGATGTATGTGCTATATGTTGTTATATGATATGTATGTGTTATGTATGTTATGTATGATAAGGACCGGAAGGTCAAGATGATATGGACCGGAAGGTCAAGATGAAATGGACCGGAAGGTCAAGATAACATGGACCGGAAGGTCAGGAGGTTACGGATCGGAAGGTCGATACAGGTAGGACCGGAAGGTCTACTGGGATTCGGGACGGAAGTCCCCTGAGACACTTGGATCGGAAGATCCCACAGAGTTATGATCTGGAAAGGCGTATGTGTTGTATATGGTATTTTGGGGAACTCACTAAGCATTTTCGCTTACAGTTGTTGTGTTATGTGTTTCAGGTACTAACAAGGATCGCGGGAAGACGCCGACATGATTAGTACACACCTATAGAGATTATGTTTGAGATTCTGGGAATTGTTTTGTTATGATAAGATTGGATACATTATGTTTGATATTGTTTTGATGATTAAAAGTATTAATTAAAAATGAAATATTGTTTTGAAAATTGACGTCGTTACAGATACACACATGTCTCACTTTAGAAGTTGCGTTCTTCTCTCAATCGACATAATTCCTTGTCTTTGCCATCACCATTGCAACCGTCACCATTACATCCGCTATCATCAAATGTTTCAATGATTCCAAGCCTATGAATCTTATTAGCAAGTTGCCCTTACGTATGCTTCTATTTATACCAACCATTTTGACGATAAAATTTTAAATTGACAAAAATGTTAAAAATGACTAAAAATGGGCAACAATAATTTAGTAAAATTGATGAAATTGACTACAATGTTCAAAATGAAAATTTTAAAGGATAAAATTATACCTCCTATTTTTGTTTATGTGGTACAAATTGTGAACAATGAAAAAAATAAATAAATAACCGACAATAAATTAATCAAATTGGACAAAAATGCATAAATAATCATTTTGACTAAAAAAAATTAAGCTGTGTATCATATCACTACTTTTTCTTTTGGTTTAAATATGAAAAATTAAAAAATATTATGAAATGATAAGAATGATATAATTTATAAAATATGACAAAACGGTCATTTTACCTAAAAAAGGATAAAGGCTTAATGTTAGAAATATATAGAACTTTTTACAATTTTATTATTTATATCAATTTCAGTTTTGGTTTTATTTAAATTTATATTGTATTCTACAAAATAATAATTTTCTAATATATCTACAATTACAAATTATCAATTGGATATTCAAACCACTATGTTTTCATAATTTCAATCAGTTATTATATCATTACAAAATTACCGACAAAACATATATACTTTTTAGTTATTAAATTTTTTATAATCATTGCTAAAAATTAAATTATAATTTAATTAAAATGATTTTGAATTTTATTATACATTGGTGGTGTGGCGGATTATAAACTATTACTCGTTAAATTAACGAAATTACCGACAAAACATATATACTTTTTAGTTATTAAATTTTTTATAATCATTGCTAAAAATTAAGTTATAATTTAATTAAAATGATTTTGAATTTTATTATACATTGGTGGTGTGGCGGATTATATACTATTACTCGTTAAATTAACGAAAATAGTGCAAAGCGGATTTATACTATATATGCCTACAGGACCGGATCAAAAGTGGGTGCGAAGAGTCGCCCATTAAGATACCAAAAATATAAGGGGCCCATAAATAATTCCATAAGCCAGAAAAAGAAACTTTTTTGAATTGAGGACATAAACATAGTCTTTGCAAAAAAAAATTATCAACTAAGTGTGGTAAAAATTATTTATCAACTAGGTGCGGTGACACTCTTGTATTACATGAGTTTATTTAAAGAAAATAAAATATGATATTTTAACAATTTGAAAATTTTGAATTTATAAAAAAAATGAAATTTTTTTTGAATTATTAAAATTAATGAGGTTTTAATATATTGAATACATTAAATATATAAACTTTTTATATTAAATATATTACATATTATCTTACATATATATTATCTTATATATTAAATGTGGAAATTTAATTTAATAAAATGAAAAATACAATAAAATGACAAGTGGAAAATTAGAAATTTAAAATTTTTAGAAAATGCTATATGTTCAAATGAATGAGAAGATGATATATGGTAAAAAGTTCTTTATTTATTAGGTAGGATGTATGATAGTTCTTAAAATATTTACTAAAAAGTGGATTACCATAGCCCACTAGACTTAATGTTTTTAATTACTTATTAATTAATTATCTATTAATAAATATGTAAAATTATTAGACCAACCAGTCCTTTCATCTTCCTTCTATCCTATAATATTCCTTCCCCTGCTTCATCACGTTGGATCATTTATCCATTCACCAATTTGTTATTAAACCAGAGGAAACATGGGGATAGTTGATGGTAGGTCCCAATAGCCACCGATGATGAATCTCCGACATGAGTGTAGTACCGGAGAACCTACAACACTGATGAACCATCTTCCCACGAAACACAACCAGCTTTCTTACCATCTTTTTTCACCCTTCTGTCATCTTCTTTACTCCGGCTGCTACTCAGTACATACACATAAACTACATTAGTAATACCGTCTGTCAATCCACGTGATTTCTATCTTAAACTTGGAAACTATTTTACGAGATCGATATGCAAACCACAAAGTCGTGGTTTATGATTTATATATAGTCTGTGCTAGCCAGATTCAAACATGCATCCCGTTTGTGTGAAAACCTAACTTCTCAATTTTTTTTGGTGTTTGTCAATATTAACATGAACGAGCTAATAAAAATTGAAAGTGTACACATGAAATGCTCAAAGGATTATAATTTCTTATTTCTTTGCTCATGGCCGTGTTACTTATAATATCTTCTCCTAGACCTTCGATTCATGTCAATTGTTACATGTAGCATTTTTGTTTCATGTTAAATTTAATTTTGATTATTATTGAACTTCTATGTTTTTATTTTCTTTCTATGCTGGAAAAAATGGATGTGGCTGGATATTATGTTAGGGCTGTGTTTGGCGCGCCACAGCTAGCTGATAAGCTAGCTTATTTTTCGAGCTTTTTTATGTTGTCGTATTTGGTAAGTCAAAATGTAGCTTATAAGCTAACTTTTTGAAAAGCTATTTAGAGGGTGTTTGGGGTATTTTTTCAGAGGGCAAAAAAACTTTTGGGAAAAGTTCCAAAAAGCCAGGTTTCCCTGACTTTTCCAAAAAGTCAGTTTTCCTTCTTTAAAAAATCCAAAAGAAGCTTTTAAGGAGCTTTTCCCAAACATCTTTTCTCTGTTATCCCAAACACTCCCTTAGACTAGCTTTTTAGGAGCTTTTTTAAAATTTTCCAAATACACCTCTTAATTAATTATAGAAACACATACTATTACACATCCTTTTATGTAATTTTATATATTTCAATTAGCTTTTCAGCTAGTTTTATCAAACGTTAATTTTAATTAGCTAACTTTTCAGCTATCAGCTAGTTTTTTATTTAACAGCTAGATTTCAGCTGTCAACTAGACTTTCAGCTAATAGCTAGTACGCCAAACATAGCCTAAATGTGGGAAGATGGGTATGGTAGCGATAAACTAGGATAAAGTAACTAATTTTTTTTCAAATAATAAAAACCATTATTAGAAAACAATTTACTATATTTTTGTAATTAAGTTTGAAATTGCTATCCTTGTGTACATAACTCCAACTTTTTTTTTGCCGATTTTGTGATGCTTTAACCGACAATCAAAATATTGCGTTAAACGAACAAAACCCAACACCAAAACAAAAAAAACAACAGGTGGTCTGATGTAATTTTTTTTCCAGCACCAAGTTTTATTAAAAAAATGAACAAAACACAAAACCAAAAAAACAATTATAAAAAACACATCAAATAGCTAACATAGGATTAAAAAGACACCAAAAACGATTAAGTGAGAACTTTATCCTACAGGTCTGTCTTCTTAGGCTGAGCATAATGCGCATCGAAGACACACATCAAGAAATGGTCTCATCAGGACTGGTCCAAACATATATAGGGTCCGGGGCGAAAAGAAAAAATGGTCATTTAAAGACAAATATAATAAAGATTCAAAAAAAATATCAACTGTTTTTCATTATAGACGTATTCAATTAGCAATAGTAAGCAAGTCAAATTGTTTATCTTTTGAGCTAATTTGAGTTTTTACCAACCTTTACGACCTAAAAATCATTTAGGTAATAATTTATATATATATATATATATACACTACATAGACCATAAAATTTGGGCCCCCTAGAGATGTGGGTCCTGGGCGGTCGCCCAGGTTGCCCACCGTCTGGACCGGTCCTGGGCCTGATGTATTATTGTTGGTCGTGTATCTACAAATGGTTATCATTCACCATCGATTCCGACGCCAAGAAACTCAAGGAAGAATACATCAAAATTGTGAGATTTCTTGATTTTTTTTATTATATTCATAGAGTTTCGATCTTTTCCCAACCCCTTTTGGGTATAACAAGAAAAAGGGAATAACAAGAAAAAAGGAATACCTGAGATAAAAAATGTAATCTTTATTTGAAATAGGGAGTTTTCTTAAATTGTGCAGATGGGTGCAAGAAATGCTAGAAATGCAGATGCCCAAGAAGCAGTAGAAGTTGTTGCAAATGAAAATGTTTGTAATGCTGCAGAAGATGTCTCGTTTGAAAAGGAAGTGAGAAAATTTATTGATGGAGTCAACCAAAATAATAAATTGGACGAGTCTCCTGTATATCATCGACTCTCTTTACATCTATTCTGATATAATGGTATATATAATTTTTAATAAAATAATGTAACTGTCATATCATATGCTAGGGTTCCAGAGTAAGCATTGAGGTCCAGGAGAAGCTGAGTCGTGCCTTTGGATTGATGTTTGGAAAGAGGAAACTAAATGTTGAATCAAAGGTCCGGTTTCTTGTAGTCAAGATTCTTTTTTTTATTTTTTTGATTTTTTTTTTATTTTTTTTTTATTGTTGATGAGTATTTTAGTCATTTTGTTAAACTATTTGTTCGTTTGGGTTTGGGAGGTGGACCATATCAAATCTTCTGTATCATCTGGCTAGGAGTAGTAGCCCTAGGTTAAAAAGGCGAGAGATACAGGTTGATAGATATTTAAACAGGTTGACTTTTTTTCTCTTTTGTTGTTTCGTCTTTTGCCTTCTCGTTTAACTTAATTAAGCCAGTTCTATGAGAATTACTTTCTTACCTTATCATCATAAACTAATTGGATGTTACAACTATATTTTTAGCACTTTTACTTTGTTCATAAAATTTTTGTAATCTTTGAATTGTCATTCTTGCTTGTAATAATATGACATTTTTCCAACGTATTGTCATCTGTGTTAGCTACAATGTAGGCTCTATAATCATTGTAATTAGATTAAGTCGATTATTTGGATCAAGTGACTCGGGGAATACTTGATCAAGTGACTTGAGTATTACGTTCTGTTAGAATAAATTAAAAGTCTTTAATGTTTAATAAATTCTATTAGAATTTACAGTTTTATTATTTTAGAATGTACTAAAAGTTTTAATATTTTAAAGTTCATTATGTTTTCTTTGTGGATATGGATTTTGAAGAGTTTACCATTGATGTGGAAAAAGAAGAAAAATTTGAGAACGAGTGTATTCTAGCATAATGTATTTAGCCAGAATGAATTCTTTTAGAATGGATTAGTGTTTTTGTTAGATTTTGATTTTTTTTAAGCATTCTTAGTTATAATATTTAAGAATAATGTAATTCTTAAACTATTAGTAATCATTTTTTTTTTTCAGAATGAATGTAATAATTGTTTAGTCTTATTCTTTACGAATTAATGTAATTAGTGATTCTTAAAAAATAAAATATGTATTCTTTAAAAATATTATTCTTGATAATATGTTGTATAATTCTTTAAGCATATTGATTATAAAAAATATATTGAATGAACCATGCATAATCTGCAAGAATAAAATCAAAAATATATTTATTCGTTTATGTTTGGTTCTCTGTCATTCTGACAGCATAAAATTGGTTAGTATTAGAAATTAAAATAGAATAAAATTTGAATTAATTAAAAAAATTCATATTAAAAAAAAAAAAATTATCCCTTAAAATCCGAAAATTTCTTTTTTTAATGTAGGTTAATCGACCAAAACATCATTCTGTTGAAATTTGTGTGATTATATGATACATGTTATCCTATTGTAATATCGTACACCCTCAGATCATGATCATTGATTTTATTCATCCATTGATCCAGAATTGTGCTTACGGGCACATAATAGATGCAAGAAATAATATATATATATATATATATATATATATATATATATATATATATATATATATATATATATATATATTAGAAAATATGACTTTATATAGACCAAGAACAAAGAATTCCCAATTTCACGCACCCTAAAATGCGCATGTTAAATTGACCAAAGTCCACCCACTCAAACATTCCGGATATAACTTCGATAGATATCCATCTCCGACAACCGACTTCGATAGATATCCATCTCCGACAACCGACAACCATCTCCCCCGACGAAATCATCCGCAGGCTACTTCCATCCTACCGATTTGGCAGTGACATTTACCAAAAACAAGATATTTTTAAATATTATCTTGAATCGGAATTATTCTTAATTTCTTATTATATATTACAATTGTCCAATAATGTTGTTGTGGGGGAAGGAGGAGAGGTTGAGGTCAGACCTAGAGAAGACAGACAAGATGCTTGAAGAGAGAGGGTTAATGTTGGAGAAGATGACGAAGGAAATTGATAAGAAAGTCGAGACTCAGAAGGCACTCCAAACGGAAGCCGACATGCTGTTTCGATTCAGATTATTATGCAAGGTAATTAATTATCTCAGATATATCGTTATTAATTAAAACTGTAGATTTAATGAAAACTCTTGATTCATTGATTAATTGATTTCTTATTATAAATTGTCATTTACGTGTTCAGAGAATCCGGCCATTGAGAGAGACGGAACAACAAAATATGAAGAAAGAGGTAAATCATTCATGCATGCATGCATGGCTTCTTTATTTGAATTTATTATATGATTGATTTATATCAATTTTTATATTATGGATTATATATGATTATGAAAAGATTAATTGTATTTGTTAGGAAAGTGGGGATGAAATGGAAGAAAAATTCTCCGGGCTAAAGACCACTTATTTGCAAATGAGAAAATCCATGGGATGAAATGGAATGCAGATTAAATCTCTCAAATGTAAACAATTTCCCTTCATTGTTTCTTTTCTATAAATTGTGGTGCTTTTCTCCAGCATACTTTATTTTTGATCCCTCGTCGACCATTACTAGAAGTCACAACCCACAAAATGATACAAAACTTCAAAAAAATTCTTCAAATTACACGGTGTAACACTAATTCCACATAATATCGTAACTTCAATATATAACATTATTTCCAAACTAAATTCGATCATCTATATCACAAATTGGCAACCAAGTAAACCATTTGGGTTGTTGTAACTTGTTAAAACATGTGAAAAATATAGTGGATAAACTTATCAATTCATTTTCAAATCCTGACACTGCTACTCAGCCTTTGTAGCCATGAAGGTTCATCTGCAATGATTCCAGAACATGAGACAAAATCTTATGTTTGTAGCGGGGATTAGTCGGTGCGCAAAAACTATCCTCTAGGCCTCTATGATGTTAGAAAGTCTCCAATAATGATCCACTACCCTCTGCAATGTTCTACGTACGCTGGGAATGAAAACTATAGTTCTTGTTCTTGCTTATTCCTTTAAACTACTTCACTAAAACCTCTAAATCAATCTTGTGGGCCACTGATTCTTGAGTCTTAACACTAAACATGTTAGAACCATAAACATGCATCCCAAAAGGCTAAAACTATCGAAAAAATTGGTTTAACTAAATTTCATGAAATGGTTTTATCCCAATTTGGTAGTATTCTGGTGCAACTCATGAGTTGCACCACTTAGCTTTTGCAATAAATAGACTAAATAGATATACTAGTAATCCATTGTGATGAATACTAGAAGAGTATTACAAGAGTGTTACGATCCTTAAGGAATACTCACATTTATGGGTTAAAGTATACAAGATATTACTAGGTCATGGAAGGGTACCATGATGTAAATTAATGGTGGAGCTATATCATAGAAGTCCTAAAAACCCATTTATAGTTATATCCGTTGTGGAATCTAAAATCCCGCTGGAGCTAATTTTGATAAAAGAGGAGTTAATGTTCACTCTACTTTGTGCACGGTTTGCGATATTGTGTTGAGACAAGTGATGATCACCTCTTCAATTCATGTTTTGTTGCTTCCTCAATTTGATTCCAAGTTGCCACATGGTGGGGGATCAATCATTTAATGTGCGACATGTTGGAATCCTAAGTCGTGTAGGACTTGGAGTCAAAGTAAACTTGGAATTTAAGCAAGATGGTTTAAGTTTCCATAGTCTTATTCTACAAGTTGGTAGTTTAGGAGTATATATATGTATAGATATCGAGGCATGATATCATGCAGAAAACTGTATTGAGTTTTTAGAGTTATATTTTCTCAATAAAATTGGAGAGTTATTCCAAATTCGTTTTGTTCTATTTGATTAGAATTGGTATCAGAGCACAGAAACAAGAAGTTGTGAGATCGATTATTACATGTTGACGAGTTAAGTCAACATGTCAGATACATGGGGAGATGGAGAAGATCCGGTGAGGGTGAAAGAGATTGGATCAACCTCTGTTCAGTATCTTATGCTCACATCAACGAATTACACAGTGTGGTCAATGAGAATGAAAGCGGTATTAAAGATTCATAAGGGTTGGGAGATAATTGACCCACGAACTACAAAAAGTCAAGACAAAGATGATTTAGCAATTGGTTTAACTTACCAATCGATACCTGAAGATCTCATAATCCAAATCGGTGAGCAAGAATCTTCCAAGGGACTTTGGGAAGCAATCAAATCAAGACATATGGGGGATGACCGTGTGAAGGAGGCACGATTGCATACTTTAATTTCTGATTTTGATCGATTGAAGATGACTGAGTCGGAGTCGATCGACTCTTTCACGGGAAAATTATCAGGAATCGCATCCAAGGCAGCCGCACTCGGTGAATCAATCAATGAACCAAGAATGGTGAAGAAATTCTTGAAATGGCTACCAAGGGCAAAATACATCCATATTGTCGCCTCTTTGGAACAGGTGTTGGATTTGAAAATCGTTGGATTTGAAGATGTAGTAGGGCAGTTAAAAGCATATGAAGAACGAATTAGGGAAGAAGACGATGGCGGAGAAGATCAAGTGACGGCGCTACTTACGAAGTCTTCTAGTAGCGGTGGTTCGAGTAATCGCAGAACACAAGGAAAAGGGACAAAGGGATTAAACGGGGCAGGAGGGTCAAATGGACCGAATGGATCCAGTAGATCCAAATGTGTTAATCGGGTCTCGCAAGTTTGCAAGACCAATCATGGAAACAAGTCCAATTTTGATCAGCCCAATTCCAATAATAACCCAAATAAGAATAAAAAAAGGATCAATCTAAAATTATTTGTTATCGATGCGATAAATCAGGCCACTTTGCGTCTGAATGCCCGGACCGAATTAAAAAATTACAAGAAAGTAATTTAGCCGAATATGACGACACTGACGAGACCGTATTTTTTAACGAATAAAAAGTGATACCATCCCGATACGACTCACAAGACAACGATGTGTGGTACTTAGATAACGGGGCAAGCAATCACATGACGGGAAATCGGTCGTTTTTCTCCGAACTTGATGAAGGCATAACCGGGAGGGTTAAATTTTGAGATAATTCATGTGTAAAAATCAAATGAAAAGGTGCTATACTTTTCCAAGGCAAGATGGGTCAACAAAGGCTGATAACGGAGATTTACTATGTACCGGATCTCAAGAACAATATTATTAGTTTCGGAGAAGCAACCGAATTCGGGTGTGATATTTGAATGAAAGACAATTATTTGACCATGCATGATGCCGAGAATTGCTTATTAATGAAGGTACAAAGAACTCCAAACCGCCTTTATAAAATAAAATTACAAATTGGAGTTCCTATTTGCCTTCATTTGAGACTAAGAGAAGATACATGGTGATGACATGCAAGACTTGGGCATATCAATTTTAAGTCAATGAAAAAAATGTCCAATAAAGTTCTAGTCAAAGGGTTACCTAAATTTGATCACGAGAATCAATTGTGTGAGTCTTGCTTGGTGGGCAAGCAAACAAGAAAGTCATTTCCGACTATGACGACATACAAAGCAAAACAACCATTAGAACTAGTTCACAGTGATTTATGCGGCCCGATCTCGTCGGAAACCGAGGGTCAAAATCGGTATATTTTTACACTAATTGAAGATTTTTCACGATTCATGTGGATTTATCTCATGAAAGAACAGAGTGAGGCGTTTACACACTTCAAAAAATTCAAAGCTTTGGTGGAGAAAGAAATTTGAAAGCCTTTGAATATGTTTAGAAGTGATCGAGGAGGTGAGTTTACTTCTCTCGAGTTTAATTCTTTTTGTGATCAAAACGGAGTCAAACGCCACCTTACCACCCCATACTTCCACAACAAAACGAAATTGTGGAACAAAGAAACCAAACACTTATGGACATGACATGAAGTATAATGAAGGCAATGGATGCTCCAAACTACTTATGAGGAGAAGCGGTAAATCACTCTACAAATCTAATCAATCGAGTTTACACAAGAGTCCATGGTGATACAACTCCATACGAAAAGTTGTATAAAAGAAAACCGAATTTAAAAAATGTTCGTATATTTGGGTGTCTAGCACATGAAAAAGTTGAACCGGTTAATCTAAAGAAGTTGGATGCAAGATCAAGACTACTAGTGCATGTTGGTTCCGAACCGGGTACGGAAGCTTATCGGTTATTTAACCCGGTGACACAAAAAATAATCGTGAGTCGAGACGTTATTTTTTATGAAACCAAATGGTGTGATTGGATTAAAGAAGCAGGAACTAACAATGAAGAATCGGGTTCATTCATAATACCATTGGACTATTCAAGAGACGAGGCGAACAAACAACCAAGGAAACGATGTAAACAATGATCAACTTGACTCGATTGAATCGGATCATGAGATTCGAGATGGAGCGGGAATACAAGATAATGAAAAACCAAGTCCGGTAAATAATAATGTTCAACAAGGAGCTACAGATCAAAGACCCTCAAGAACAAGAGTACCTCCAAGACGATTTCAAGATTATGAGCTTGACCTTGATAATCTCGAAGAACTTCTTCTTACAACCAATGGCGAGCCGGTATTTGTTGAAGAAGCGAAGAAAGAACCAGAGTGGGTCAAAGCTATGGATGCGGAAATTAATTCAATAAATAAGAATTATACTTGGACTCTCGTGAACAAGCCTATGGGGGTGAAGCCAATTGGACTCAAGTGGGTGTTCAGATTGAAAAAAAAATGCAGACGGCACCAATAATTAATACAAGGCAAGGTTGGTTGCTAAAGGCTACGTGCAACAACCCGGTATTTATTTTCAAGAAGTATTTTCCCCAGTAGCTCGAATTGAAACCATTCGGTTTCTTATAGCCTTAGCAGCTACTCATGGGTGGGAGCTTCACCGCTTAGATGTTAAAACAACATTCTTACATGGAGAATTAAAGGAAACCGTTTACGTATCGCAACCGGAAGGCTATATAAAGAAAGGCAATGAGCATAAAGTGTATCGCCTTAAAAAAGCATTATATGGTCTAAGACAAGCACCTCAAGCATGGAGCATGAAGCTTGATGGGATTTTGAAGAGTAAGAAATTTCAAAAGTGCATGAAAGAACCATCGGTGTACCGGAAAAGTGAATGATCTAACTTGCTAATTTTAGCAATTTATGTTGATGATTTATTTGTCACATGTACAACTTTGAGTATGATCAAGAGGTTCAAATTAGAGATGTCCAAGAACTTTGAGATGTCGGATCTTGGAAGATTGACTTATTACCTTGGCATTGAAGTTAAGCAAGAGGCGTCGAGGATTACTATAAACCAAGAAGCATATGCTCGATGCATTCTAAAAGAAGTCGGTTTACATGATTGCAATCCGACCCACATTCTTATGGAACCGATAATTAAATTGTCAAAGGCCGAAGATGAACCTAAAATCGGCCCGAAACAATATTGAAAGGTGGTAGGATGTCTTAGATATCTCTTGCAAACAAGACCCGATATGGCATATGCGGTTGGAGTTGTAAGTCGATACATGCAAAGTCCAAGAGAATCACATGGTGGTGCAATCAAACACATTCTAAGGTACTTGCGAGGAACAATGGGATACATAATCAAGTACGAAAACATGGGGCAACGGCGACTTATTGGTTATAGTGATAGTAATCACAAA